CAGCTGAAAAAATTTGAAGATGTCGAGCTGCAAGAATTGCTTGATGAGAATCCAGCTCAAACGCTTTTAGAGTTGTCGAAACAGTTAAATGTTACTCAAAAGGCCGTCTCAAAACGCTTGCATGCCATGGGAAAGATCCATAAGGAAGGGAGATGGCTATCACATGAGTTATCAAAAAGTGCCATTTCGAATCGTTTGACTATTGCGACTTCTTTGCTTGCCAGGCAAAGAAAAAAGAGTTTTTTGTGGCGCATCGTGACTGGCGATGAAAAATGGATTTATTTTGATAATCCCAAGCGGAAAAAATTATGTGTGGATCCCGGCCAACCATCCGCTTCAACGCCGAAGAGGAATATTCACGGGCATAAGACCTTGCTGTGCGTTTGGTGGGACCAGGAAGGTGTGCTGTATTACGAACTCTTGGGTCCAAATGAAACCGTTACAGCTGATCGCTACAAACAGCAACTATACCGATTGAGTGAGGAATTGATGCAAAAAAGATCATCCTTAGCCAACAATCGACGCAAAGTCCTTTTGTTGCATGATAACGCTCGACTGCATGTCGCGAAAAGCGTGAAGCAGGCACTTCTAGAGCTTGAATGGGAAGTTCTTCCGCATCCAGCGTACTCTCCAGACTTGGCATCGTTGGATTACCATCTGTTCCGATCGATGCAACACGCACTTACGGACACACACTTCTCCAAATCACAACGAAGTACAAAAATGGGTGGATGAATGGATCGCCTCGAAAGACACCGCGTTCTACCGTCGTGGGATTGCCCTGTTGCCAGAGAGATGGGAAAAAGTAGTAGAAAATGGAGGAAATTATTTTGATTAAGGCATTCATTCATCTTCCGTTCGAAACAAATCAATTTTGGAGACGAAAAAACGGCAGGAATTAAATTCAACACTTAATAAAATAAATTTTTTTATTTCTATATCCTGGAAGCGTACACGAAGGAAATGTCGCGTTTCTTTTTGTAGTATTCAAACTAGCAGTGACATATTAATAAGAAACAGGTATGCGAGTAGAAACTGGAAAGGGATATTGTAAAACAAATGTCATACAATTTTTTACCATTTAGTCTGGAAAAGTGTCATGACAAATATTCAATTTTTGTAAACATTTGTCAATGCGTCATATGAATCGGATGGAGATAGCAATGAGCTACGTTAGGCTACGTCTCATCAGTGTTCACTTTTTCCGTGTGTCAAAATGGTCGAGAGGGATGAGAGAGAGGAACCGTGGCAGACGGTACATTTCTATCTCTTTTCATTCAATGGTGTAATGGGAGAGAGAATGAGAGGGAGATTGGCCGTCTCCCACGGTCCCTCTCTCTCATTATTGTCGACCATATTTGATACATTACTTAGATACGGATCGCGCAGTCCATTCTCAGTCTTTGGGCGGAATCAAAAGTTTTCTCTCACTAGCGGAAGTGGAAAGTCACACCTATCAAACATTCGAGGGGACTTAACTTCTGATGATATTATCGCGAATGTACTACCTAATAGGTACGTTCCCTATTACCGCTTATAGCGCAGTAAGCATTATTGTGTTTCTTTAATATATGATGGATAAGGATGAAATAATGCTTATAACGTGTGAGCGTAAAAACGAAACTTACCCTAAATGTATTGACCAATCATAATAAAGAATCAATTATAGTGCTAATTTACTCGGCTGCGTCTCCGGAATATAATTTAATTTTAATATTGTGTGTGTGGATGTACGTGCTGACTTATTTTTGTATGTGTGACTATATTACTCATGTATGTACTTCATATTATAAGTCGAGAGACATGAATTATATTAAATCAACTGATATATAGAGCATTAATAATTTATTCTTGCCTCGATTATTGAATTATCGCCATAATATTCTTATGATAAAGTTCTACGGAAAAACCTCTTGACATAAATATAGATAGATGTAAAGATAATTAACAATGACAAAAATCTAAAAACTAATATATAGTTATATACTCCTTTAAATTAATAAAAATAATAATTACAATGTAAAAAAGGCTATAGGAGTCAACGCTGGTTATAAAACATCGTGAGAATTATGAGCACTGTGGGCGTGAATTGGAGCAGCCTATGTATGTACGCGCTGGTGAACATTTATCATAAATACTCAGAATTTAGAAATATTCGGAAAGTTTACATCTTCTCTCAGAATTTTTCGTACAAGTGAATTCTGAAATTTCTCATCCTATAATTTTTAAAAAATATTTAAAAATTTTTAGATTTTATAACATTTCGTTCGAAATTAGACTTACCAAAAATCTGAAAAATCTTAGGATATTTCATAATTAACATTAAAATGCTCTTTAGAGCTAATAAAGCTCTATTTTCCTTCTTAAAATGCATTTCTATAAATTGCTCTATAATTTCTTTTTACTTATGTATTCATCTTATTTGTAGCCAAAAATGCTAGTCTCGCATTCAGATCTCTTGTAATATTTTTTAATTTGTCCGAAATTGAAGATATGTATAAGAGAATAAACCAAGATTTTTTATTTTTAGAATCATTAACAATATTCCGTTTACTAATTTTTTTTTATTGATTAACAATGATTGACGAGCGATAATTGTCTTAAATATGATCATTGACGATGATCATTGACTGATAAGGTCTGTAATAAGGTCGAAGATAAAACATAAAATTTCAATAAAAATACAAAAATAAGTAGCAATAAATGATATTTTATTCTAATACACACAAACATGCACACACAATTGGTCCGTAATTAGACTGTCTTGTAGTTAATCCTAAAATACGAATGAGGATGAGTGATCCAATGGCATGGCATCTTTCTCCGGCGAGAATAAGATTGTGAAATAATATCGCTTGTCAGATAGGTTACGGAATCGACATATCCAGATAACATCGATGAAGAAATACGTTTTCACAATTTTTCATTCGTATGTCGAATTCCTTCTTAAAACCATGTACAATCTTTACATATGTTCTGATATTCCCATTTTTTAAACATGTTCCTCTCTGATGTACATATCAGGATCCCTCATTTTTGTTGAACACTTGTTCCAGTTCATGAGAAACAAAGTTCCTTATTTTCGTTCTTGTTCAGCGGAATCGCCGGTTTGATCTGCCTCAATCAAATCCAGAATTCGGTTTCTCCTACAAAAATAGAGTATAAAAATGTTAAAAAATGTGATATAATTTATATGTATTTTTATACGAAAATTTCGTAATGTATAATATATCATTTCCTTGAAGAAGAAATTACATGAACGCTACTTTGTCATTAAAATTAGTTTATCTTGTAACATAAAATCTAATTACAATTACAAATTGTTTTAATGGTTAGAAATACATTCACGTTGATTTTCTTAAGGACAGCAAGAGAATAAAAGGATAAACTTCCGAAAATGTCAAACGCCTAATTTTCATAAATTTTAGCAGAAACACTCTAAATGACGTCAAATATGAATACCCTTAAATGAATTTTCACTGACAAGAAAGTTTAATGCCAAAAATATTTAAATAAAGTTATATACTACCTAAATGGATTGCTGTTACATAGCTCACTGTAAATTACTTTGATATTGGTCTTGACTTCGAATGTCTTGAATAACATCTGTCAAGATCAAAGCCATTAGAGGTTGTACCTCTTATTTTCATTTTTACGTAAAAATAAATTTTTAGTGCAAAAATGAAAATAAGAGGAATAATCTTCAATTGCGTAATGCTAATGCCGGCGGTAATACTGTAATACTGTAACTGTAATACTGTAACTTTCGAGCCTTATAATTCGAAAAGTACTCAATGAAAAATAATTTTATTATAGCGTTTTGAAAAGCTCTCGGTATCAGCTATTAGGTACTGGAATAAAAAGTTAGGTGTTTCATTTAAAGAAATCGACGTGACTTTGACCTGACATTGGCGACGTCACCTAAGGTTAAACTGATAAGATTAGTAAATAGATTATTTTAAATTTTATAACTTTTATCTGAGTATTTTTACGATTGGACCTGATCCTGCGAAGATAAAGGGGTGTACAAGTGGTCTGAAACCCGGTATAAACCGAGATAAACATGTAATATACTAAAAATAATAAGTACAATACAAATTTCTATAACTCTATTCAAACATTTTTGGCATTCAACCTTCTTGTCGGTGAAAATCCATTTAAGGGCGTTCATTTGACATCATTTAGAATGTTTCTGCTATGAATTCATGAAAATCGGGCGTTTAACTTTTTCGGAAGTTCATCCGAATAAAATAATTAAAAATTTTTATTGTTATAATCAGAGCTGGGATTAGATACTTCAGTAATAAGGCAAAAAAATGCGATCCCTCAGAAATAAAAAAAAATATTTTCTTTACGGTGTGAAAAATATAATAAAAAATAACATTATTCATTGATACTTAATATTAATTTAATAACGTTATTTAATAAGAACATAGTCAAATGTATAAAATTATACGGTACAAACATGCAGGTTACGTATACATGTATGTTATAAGCAAAAACATAGTTACTAAAATCAAAGTATATGTGTATATTGTATAGTATTTATAACAGATAATATTAATTATCGTAAAAATTCATGGAAAATGTTTTTCATTTAAAGTAATATTTTTCGTGCTGCGATAGTCACAAAATTCATATCCTTATATGTATTTCGTTTGCTTGTAATACACAACGAATAGATAAGTATGATCATCGTTGATAGCAAATAAATTAAAACAGAAATTTATTGCCATTTTTGCATCCTTCCAAATTTTTTATACGAGGCAAATGCCTTGATCGCCACAACTCAATTCCAGGTCTGGTTATAACTTAGCTTTCAAACAGGAAAACAAAACCAGGCAAAATAATCATACGTGATAATCATGCGACGACGAAGATTTAAGTTTGTTTAGATTAGTCCTTCTAATCTTCCGGAGCCACAGATTAATATTGTGGAATGTCATTCCCATCTTCTGGGCCAATTCTTCCATTTTATTTCTTCTAGGATATGGTGTTTCTTTAAGCACCAGTGCTAACTCGTTCATCTGATCATCCGTGAGTTTCCTTTTTCTGCGCGACGCTGTTTTCACCGGCTTTGTTTTTTTCATTTCGCTTTTGCAATAGGAATGTTCGATCTTGATTCGACCTTTCAAAAGATCGATCTTTTGAACACAAAAAATCAGATTTTTTAATCAATCTCCTTCTTTGCACTTTTATTGTAAATCGCTTGTTTTAGCAGTGAATCGATCTCCGATTTTTCTCGATAGGAGCACATTCGAAAACACTACCCAAATGCCTAATTACGCAGTAGAACTTAAGCAATACGAATTGGCCTATTTACAATAGAAACCATAAGATCTTAACATAAGTAATAGCAAATGCAATATGTTAATTTCTTTACTGTTTACATCTTGCTGCTTAAGTTTTTCTGCCATGGCTCTTACCCAGTAAGCAAAAAACATAAGATCAACACTTTGAAATATTGATTTTATATGAATTTCATCAACATTTTCGTCTAATTATTTTATAAATATGATTATAATATTATCTAATAATATGGTATTTCCGTACCATTAAACGTATCAACATTATAGAAAATAACCTCTAATAGTTTCCTCTACTAGCCTGCTCGCCGAGTGATTGAATGCGATTGGATCTATAAGTAACACCAATTTTGCTCGGCAAGCAGACTAGTCGCTTTATTGACTTGAACGCGCGCATTATTTCTTGCCAACTTTGATTTTACTGCATAAATAGATTTTTCCAGATCGATCTTTAAGAAATCGTTCTTTTTAATGCAATCTATGATGAATCCATATTGCTGCAATCCGAGATCGATTCAAAGATTGATTTTCAATAAACGAATCGCACATTCCTATTTTGTAATCGGATTCAGAACCCACCTTTTCCTGCAAAAAAAGCATATTAAAAATAATAAAAAATTATACTAGTGTTTATTTATATATATTAAAATCTCGTACTATACAATATTTATCGTTAAAAAAGAAATTATATAAATGTTAAACTCTGCTCTCTACCGTTTAATTTAATTTATGTTGTGTGTGACACAAGATTTAATAACAATTACAATCTCTCTTAATGATTAGTAATATCGTTGCTTTTCGACGGCAAATAAATAAAATAATTTAGGCGTCAAGTGGCTTGCCGCTCGGTGCGATTGACTCGCGATCTGTAGATCCCACCGCGTGTATTTATTGTTGTATATAGCAGAAATAAGACGTTATTTTTTTGTAATTTTGGTCAATAATTTTTGTAAGGATCAGTGATCACCACCTAAGATCTATTGAAAGTCACTCATGGCCATGACCTTGACGACATAGTCAAAGTTGAGGTCATCGACGCGGTGTTCCGTATTTCAAGTAATTACCCGATTATATCTTCTAGCATTCTTGAACCATACATTAATACTGTGAAATGGCACTTCCATCTTCAGAGATAGTTTTTCCATTTTATTTCTTTTAAGATATGGATTTTTCTCAAACACCTGCATTAACTCATTCCGTTCATCATCCGTGAATGTCTTGCGCGACAAGTTTGTTTTCAACAGTTTTATCGTTCCGTTTCTGTAATTGAAGTTAGAATGCACTGTTCCCTACAACAAAAACACATAAAAAATAAAAATGAAATTATACTGGTACATATACAGGATGTCTCATAAGTTTTGAGAAAGCGTTCGTAAGCAGATAGAGCGGACTAAATTGAATCGAAAAGTCCTTTACCATTTTACAATTTTCGCAATAGTTATAACAAGATATTAATTACTAAAAATCGTAAAAAATTAATTACTATAAAATGGTTTTCAATAATTTTGTACTCTCTCTCAAATACTATCAACTTTACAAAAAAACAGCAAGAAACAAAAATTGTTTATTTTCTTTTCATACAGTTCTGAGAATTTTTTCAGAATTTTTTAATACCGCATTTTTTCATGTTGGTAAAACTAGTTGCTAATAAGAAAACGCAGTACTAAAAGGTTGATACGAAATTCTGAAAAAATTCTTATAGCTCTTCTTATAGCTCTATAAGAAGAAAATAAACAATTTTTGTCTCTTGCCGTTTTTTTGTGAAGTTGATAGTACTTAAGTAAAACATTATTAAAGACCAATATTCGGCGATATTTAGTAATTAATATCTTGTTAATTATTGCGAAAATTGCAAAATGACAGGACTTTTCGACTCAGTTTAGTCCGCTCTACCTGCTCACGAGCGGTTTGTCAAAACTTACCAGATACCCTGTATATGCGAATTTCATAATATACAGTCACTTTTATTGGAAAAGAAATTGTATATATACTGAACACTACTCTATCGTCTAACTTAATTTATATTGTGGTATAAGATTTAATCACAATTATAGTCTTTTAATGATTAAAAATATCGTTGGTTTTCTGAATGTCGCCAAGAAAATAAAATAATCACAAAAATTTTATTGTTATAACCAGAGTCGGGATTAGTCGTTTCGGCACCAAGGCAAAAGAAAAACATGCACCTTCTCAATAACAAAAAATATTTCTTTTACGACGTGTAAAATATTATAATAAAATAAAAATAATATTAATTTAATACTAAGATTGTTTAATAAGAATATAATCACATGTATAAGTATCATGTTGTGTTAAAAACGAACAAAATATAGTTATTAAAGTCACGGTAAAATCAGAGTATGTATGTATACTGTATCGTATCACTTATACACAATAGATAATATTAATTATCATAAAAATTCATAGAAAATGTATTTTTCATTTAAAGTAATACTTCTCTTGTTTTGATAGCTACAAAATTGACAATTTAATCAACATTTGTATGTATTTTGTTCTTATTTAGTACATAACAAGCGTTTAATGACAGATAAAGTATAGTTACTAACCGTTACTAACGACTAAATTAAAACAGAAAAATATTGTCATCTTTGTGTATTCCAAAATTTTTTACATTTACGCAAGTGCCTCGTTCGTCACAAACTATTCACGGGTCTGATTATAACAATTAGTTTTCAAAACAGTGAAACAAATCATACGTCATGATCATCACGTGTTAATGGAGGCGTAATTTTGTCCCGTTTAAATTGTCTAATACGTGCAAACCAAGATGTGATCTTGTAAAATGGCATTCCCCATCTCTGGGCTAGTTCTTCCATTTTATTTTTACTAGGATATGGAGTTTCCTCAAATACTCGTACTAACTCGCTCCGTTGAACATCCGTAAATGTCTTTTGGCTGTCCCACATTATTTTTGTTTCGCTTCTGCGATCGGAATTCACATTTTCCTACACAAAGTACATTGAAAATAAATGAAATTATAATATACAGAGTGCTCCAGAACAACTCAGGTGTCACTGAAGAGACGTATTTTTGACCAAATTCTAATAACGTTTTCGACCCGAGCGAATTTACTCCCATTTGGATAATGTTCTACTATTAGTTGACGTTACATATTCCACCAATAGGAGAGCATACGTCATTAATCCAACCTAGATTGGTGCAAATCCGCTCGGGTCGAATACGCTATAAAGTGATTTTTCCTTTACGAAAATTTTGTTTGAAGCTTAGTTTCCAAATCACAAAAAGAAATAGTTAGCGTATCACGGGTCGCGTATAAGAGACGGGCAGGAGCGGCGCTTTACGCACGGGACGCAAATTGATCGGTGCATTCACACGTTTATAAAAACATGTTCCAAGACCTTGGGTTGTTAGGGTAAGGTCACTTTGAATTTTTTTAATGGAACCCCTCATTTTCCATTACATATTCAAGTCATGACCCTGAACAACATTCAAGATAAGGCTTGAATCTCTCTCTCTCTCTCTCTCTCTCTCTCTCTCTCTCTCTCTCTCTCTCTCTCTCTCTCTCGCCGGCATTAACATTGCAACGCGTTAATAGCGAAAAAATTAGAACAGAAATTTATGTTGCCATTTTGCATCCTTCCAAATTTTTTACATGAGGCAAGTGTCTTGTTCGCCACAACTAATTCTGGGTCTAGTTATAACTATTAGTTTTCAAATCACATCAGCATAATATAATCGGGCAAAAAAATCATACGTGATGATCATATGACGACGAAGGCATATGTTTGTACGGATTATATGTCCTACTATTTTGGAACCATTTTGTAATACTGTGAAAAGACGCTTTCATTTTCAGGGCTAGTTCTTCCATTTTATCTCTTGTAGGATATGGAGTTTCCTCAAATACCCGTATTAACTCTTTCCGTTCATTAGCAGTGAATCTCTTTCTACGCAATGTTGTTTTCAGTGGGTTTTTCTTTCCACTTTTGAAAACGGATTCAGGACACACTGTTTCCTACAACAAAAGTACATTAAAAATAAAAAAAGAAATTATACTAGTACATATTTATATATATTAGAATCTCGTAATATACAATATAATCCTTTATTGAAAAAGAAATTGCATAAGCATAAAACGCTGCTCTCATCTAACTTAATTTATGTTATGGCATAAGATCTAATCACAATTACAATTTCTTTTAATAATTAGACATATCATTGAACGCGGCAAAAGAATAAATTAAAAAAATTGTGTTGACACAACCAGAGACAGGATTAGACCTTTCGGCGCCTAGGCAAAAAAAAAACATTCACCTTCTCTCAGCAATAAAAAAATATTTCTTTTACGAGGTATAAAATATAATACTTAAAATAAAAAATATTATTAATTCTAGAATTGGAAAGAGATGAGAAATAAGTTGAACCTCGATTAATGTCCAATTTCTTCACTTCCAGATAAGTTGCGGATAACCTTATCCAGGAGATATCTCCATTCACTCCATTGTATTCTGGGAGATATCTCTTGGATAAAGTTATCTAGAGGTGAAGAAATTGGGCATAAGAGTTAACCGTGAGTTGTGAAACTGGGCCTTAGCTTTCAAATAGCAAAACACAATCGCATAAACGATCATACTTGACGATCACACGTCGACGAAAACATAAGTTGTTTGTTCCGTTGATTTCTTCTATTATTCCGGAACCATGTACTAATATTGGGAGATGACACTCCCATCTTTTGTGCTATCTCTGCCATTTTTATTTTACCAGGATATCGAGTTTCCTCTAATATCCGTATTAATTCGTCCCGTTGCCCAACTGTGAACCTCTTGCCGCGCGGCACTATTTTCTGCGATTGCGGCTCTTTGTTTTTGTTTTCGCATTCGAATTCAGAACTCACTATTTTCTACAACAAAACCACATTAAAAATAAAAAAATTATAATTATATATATATATATATATGTGTATATATATAATTATAAATATTAGTCTCGTAATAAACAATATCTGTCATTGAAAAAAAAATTGTATAAATATTGAATGCTGCTCCACCGCCCAACTTAATTTATACTGTGACGCAAGATCTAACTACAATCACAATCTCTTTTAATAATTGAAAATATCGTTAATTTTCTGAAGCAAGAAAATAAAATAATTACAAGAATTTTATTATTATATTTTATATGGTGAAAAAGGTGCGCAACGACACAAACAACTGTCGGTAGGCATGTAAAGATAGTTACAGAATCGCGCCCCAGGACCGAATAGACGTTTTGACGCCGCAGAAAAAAAAGGATCATATACCTCTTTAGTAACAAAAAATATTTCATGTAGAAATGTAAAATATAATAAAAAATATTAATTAGTGTATTTAATATTTAATATTAATTTAGTACTAATAATATTTAATTAATAGGAACATAATCACATGTATAAATATACGTTACAAGCAAGTAAGTAACTTATATATGTATGTTACTAACGAACAAAGCATAGTTACTGAAGTCACAGTAAAATCTGCAGTTTCTATACGTATTGTATAGTGTATAACATTTATATGTATAACAGATAATATTAGTTGTCAAAAAAATTCATAGAAAATGTATTTTTCATTTAAAGTAATCTTCGTGTTTTGATAGTCACATCAAAAATCTTTTATCAAGATTTATATCTCTACATATTTTGTTTATATCTGTATATATTTCGTTTTCATGTAATAGATACACGCAACGAGGGTTCAATGGCAGGAAAGTATAGTCACTGCGTTGATAGCAAATGAATTAAATCAGAAATTTATGTTGCCCTTTTTGCATTCTTTCAAATTTTTTACATATAGCAAGTGCTTCGTTCGTCACAGTGTCTAGTTTTCGGTCTGGTTATAACTATTAGTTTTCAAACAGCAAAACAAAATTGCATAAAATGGTCATACTTGATTTTTATGCGTCGACGAAGACTTAGCTTGGCCCTTTTTATTCCTAGGTTTAGTTCTTCTAATATTCCGGAACCACATACTAATTTTTTGGAATGACACTCCCATCCTTTCGGCTAGTTCCATCAATTTTCTTCTATCAGGATATCGAGTTTCCCTTAATACTTGCATTAACTCGTTCCGCTGATTAACCGTAAATTGCCTACAGCACATCACTATTTTCAACGGTTTTTCCTTTTTGCTTTTGTAATCAGATTTAAAACCCTTTGTTTCCTATAACGAAAACATTAACAATAGAAAAGATATTATACTAGTATATATATTACGAACGAATAAAACATAATTGCTAAAATCACAGCAAAATTAGAGTGTATATATGTATTATATATAGTATGTAGTTTATAAATAATTAATTATTGTATAAATTCATGGAAATTGTATTTTTCATTTAATATTGTACTTTTCATGATTTAATAACCACAAAATTGTCAATTATTATATCAACATTTATATTCTTACATATATTTCGTTTTTATTTAATACACAACGAGCGCTCAACAAAAGAGGTAGGTAAGTATAGTAGGACTCGGTAAAATAACTGATACGATCTATATAAAATATAAAATAAATTCCAGAAACTTATTTTAAATATAAAATCTTAGGAGTCGATAAAAGAGTGATACGACTTATTCGAAATAATAAATATAAAATAGGTTCCAAAAATTTATGTAAAATATTAAATAAGAAATACGTCGCAAAAAAATTATTAAAAATATAAAATACTTGTTTTTTTATTTTAAATAAGTTTTTGAAGAATATTCTTATTTTAAATAAGAAATTGTTTTCGAAAATTGATTTAAAATAAATCATCTTATATTTAAAAGAAGTTCTTGAAATCTATTTTTTATTTTAAGTAAAAAGTACATTTCAAAAATTAACTGAAAATATAAAATAAGAAATATATATTTTAAATAAACGTTTTAAATAGGAAATACAAAAATATTTTAATAACTTTGTTTATTTTGATATATGAACATATATTTGAGTATACATTTATAAGTTTATAACATTTCAGATTTTACCATTTCAGTTTTTTTATAACTATAGCCTCTAATTAATGTTATTATAGTTATACTTAGTA